AGTGTAAACGTAGCCTTAGAAACACTGCTGTTGTCCTCAGGGCCAAAGATAACAATCTTTCTCTTTCAGACTTTTCCCAAACAAACATAAACCACAATGTTTTACTGGAAGCCAAAATATGGAAACATGTGACACTTGCAACTGAATGCCACCGAATGGCAGGGAGACGAAACGGAAGTGACCCTTCCACAATCAACTCGTGACAGTAATCTGTCTTAACTTACGTTTCAACTTGTTTTCTGAGGGACTTATTCTCCGAACCCAGTGCTGCCATGTCATCATCTGCACCATCGAGCAATTTCCTCATGTCAGCATTTTGATCTCTCAGCAGACTCTGACTGTATTCCAGCTCTGCTATTTTCTCAAGCAACTCCTTTGGTGACCTGCACAAGCACATCACAGAAAAAGGTCATATGCTGCACAGTAAATCCAACCGGTTGTGTGTGTGTTCATTAAGCATCACTCACATGTTTTCCTCTATGACATCCATTGAGTTGGCGTATTCCTTACCCTGCTGTGATCAACATATGTTTTTGTCAAAATTCATATAAAATAGTGACAAAGCCACAATACATATTTTTGAAGTGAATGGTGTTGAAAGTAATTTAGATTTCAACTAGATTTCAAGTAGACTTTATTTACTCAAGCATAAATACATTTTTGGCAAGAAAGAACAAGCAAATGCACAGGTTTCTATTAGGTAAAGTAACAAAAATATATGTGGACAAGTTGTGCTTATGTGTGGTTTCCTCCCAAAAGACAATTTTGTGCCATGAAAAACCATGATCTACTTAATTTATCTAGGCCACTACAGTCATGTGAAAAAGAAAGTTTCAACTAAACCCACCTTAAGCAGTAATAAATACAAGTAATTGTTTCCAGTGTGACTTTATCAGTCTTTTACAATATTGGCTTTTGCCCAACACAGCATGTCACTGTGCATTATGTCTAAGTATCTTCACTTTGGTCTTGTCTTTTTCAAAGAAGTATCATTGTTTTTTCAGATGTACTAAAGCTAAGCCATGCTGACACTTTTACAGAAGAGGCTTTCTCTTGGTAACGACTCCAAAGAAGGCCTACTTGTTCATTATTTTCAGAACTATACTGTCATGAACTTTAACATTTAATATGCTAATCGAGGCTTGCAGAAATTGAGTTTTTGCAGTTTCACTAAGCACTGCACAATCTGAACTTGAATATGCTGGGATGTCCACTCCTGGGATGATAGAGGCATTGTGTTAACACACACCTAAATGCTTCAGCCCAGTAAAATGCCTGAACTCCTGCTTTTAAAGAGGTGCTGGTACTTGCTTAAGGTAAGTTAATCATTTACATTTGGAGCACCTGGCTGCTACTTGCCCTATTACTTGCTATGGCTATAGTAAGGGTTTGTTAGTTAACTAACTAGTTAACTTAGTTTTTGCATCAAGTCCTTTTTTTAACATGACTGAACCAGAAATGCTTCATATGAGGCATATTTGTTTTGGCCTTGCAGGCAAGACCAGGACATCGCACATTTAAGTAGAATGACATTTTGCTGTTAATGTAAATATAGATGGAGGTATGATTAAGGCCACATTAGCTTGAAAATGAATAAAAACAGACTCAGGCTTAGCTAACGGTTAACTTAAATGCGAATAATTAAAGCTAATAAGTTATGAGAACTTAACTGTCGTTTACAAAATGGTTAAGTTTTTAAAAAAAATACAGACACACATGCAAGCATTATTGTAACTTTACATAAATGTTTAAACATACTAAAATGGAGGGGGGAAAGGCTAATGCAAGGTAAAAACGTGCAAGCTAATGGCCAGCTTTACAATTTTTTCAGTTAGCGTTAGTTAAATAAAATTCAACTTTGTGCAATAAAGACAATTTCTAACAGAGCTTATAAAAGTGTTTCAGTGGTGTTGTAGCTGTATAAAACTAACGAGCTAAAAACCTTACCAGCACATGAACACTTTGCAACTTGGATACCTGGTCACACTAGCTTAACTACCAAGGATCTAGCTTCCATACAAGCTGGTTACCATGGCAGCAATTAGTTGGGCAGGCTTCACAATGAAGGCACTTTTATCAAATCGCTTATTTCCATCTAGTTTATAACAAATTTATATAGCAGTATAACTGTAATACTCACTGATACTGCTTATAAGGGATCAGAAAAGTTGCTGCCATGTGGAAAAAATGTAAACTGTGCTGGTAGATATTGCTGCTTGCTTCAGTTGCAATTATTAGTTCAATATTAGACAAATATGACAATTTGTTTGTGTTGTGTTCAAGAAACCTGTCTTGGATGTTTTGAGCTTTGTGGTTAACCATCCATTAGAAGATGGGTAAACTTCTGTCACACAGGCATGGACATGGCCAGAGGCAGGCTGTGGGTGTTTAAATGCTTAGTTCGTCCCAAAGTGGTAATAGAATATCCCCTGTCACAGAACAAATGGAGTCTCAGCATGCCATACCAGTATTATTCCCATCTTATATTGTTTTATTTTGGTGAGCCTCAGTTTCCTGTCACCTGATGTAGTCGCCTGCTGGTGTAGCTCATCTTCTTCAAGGTTCAATGTGTTTTGAGTTCAGAGATGCTCTTCTGCATACCTTGGTTGTCACAAGTAATTATTTGAATTACTGTTGCCTTCCTTTCAGTTTATGCATTTCTCTGAACTCGGGATATTTTCAGTTATTTTCAGATGGCTGTGCAGGAAACTCCAAGGGGATCAGCAGTTTCTGAAACTCAGCTTTGTTGTTGGTGCCAGATGGATTGGCCAATGTTCAGTTACTTAAATCACCTTTCTTCCCCTTTTCCATCTCGACATACATAAGTACACTGCCATACTGTTGCTGCCAGTATGGCGAAGATTTTATCTTTTGGTGATTTTTATAATTGTTTTTATAATTGTTCCCTATTTGAACAGGATCTATTTGGAATTTTGGAATAAGAATTATTTTTATTAGTCAAATATGACAACAATTGCAGTTTAAAGTGATGCAAATTAGAAAAAGTTAAAACTTTTGAAACCCAAAATTTAATTATTTCAGCACAACAACTTTAACAAAAATAGAATAATATTAAAATTAAACATTTCTCAGTGGTATATCCCTTCAAGCAAACACCTTTAAAAGGCAAAACACCCAATAATCAACCAAACAAAATGATATCTTTTGGCAAGGAACTAACAACAGTTGTAAAGAATAATAATATAAAATTTAGTGACCAGTACAAACAAACAAAAAAGGCTTGTAATTTTTCCAATACACTTAGGCCAGAAGAATTAAAATAAGAAAAATAAAAGCTGCCAAGAAGTAAAATACATGGAGGTAAAGGAAATTCATTTGGCATCAATTAAAACTGACATGTTCGCATTCTTCCATATTATTCTGAACTGAAGCACTTGACAGGATGAAGTACACTCAAGACAGGTAAACAGTTACAGGGATACCTCGTGAAAAAAGAAAGACTCTATAGCCATCAATTATAACAGTTTGAATGTGTTTGTATGCAAAAACTGGTAATTATAGGCAAAAACAGGATGCTCTAAAGATTTCTATACAGTATGTAACGTATAGGGTACAGAATGAGGACGCTGCTTAATGAAATATCAAGCATGGAGGCAAAACTGTTCACACATCATAAGCATGTACATTTTAAATACTGCATTCACTAAACGTAAACTGTCATAAATTGCACTTTTTTCCACACCATTTCAGTGTTTATTTTTATTTATTTCAAATTAATGTTGTGCTGAAGACATTAAGACCGCTCCTTTGTGTCTCCCACTGTTCCACCTGCCACAGCAGAATCCAATTAAAAAGGTCAGTTTAATAAACTCAGGAGCATCCTCAGAGCAACAGCAAAATAGAGGCAAATGATTGTGCATTTTACAGTCCAGTGGAGTAATCAGGGACTGCGTAAGCCACACTTGTGTAACGTTCGGATTTAGGCAGCCTCAGCGTAGGGAAAACCCAAGAAAGCAGCTATTATCAACACTCCCACGAGGCGTCACTGTCAGAGATTGTGAGTGCTTCTCAACAAGGATTAAAACTGAACATTGTTCAGTCAAAATACATTCTTATTTCAGTGCTATTTTTAAACATGTATTATCAGTGCTCGCTTGCAAGATGAACACATTGAGTTTCTGTGTTCATTTTCTGAGGCCAGCCTTGCTGAGTGTACGGATTACCATTTAAGATCAATGTACCACCAAAAGAAGACCCTTAATTTCTTTGTCTCAGCACAGAATCTACAGAGTAGACACTGGCAGTGAGTTACACCCTCCAACACATTACACAGCCACACACAATTCTACTTTCTTCCCACTCCAAGCTACCTCTTCTTGAACTAAGATGAGTTCCCCTGCTGCTCCCGATAACATTAACCACCACCATTAAAGTAAAGACACTCGGTCCGCTCCGATCAGCACCAGTTACCGCGAGGGCTCCAGCGATCCTGTGACCTGGAAGTTTATGCCGTCTCCTGGCAGTGGCGAGGGGATAAGAGGGCAGAGCCAGCAGATGTACCAACGCAGGCCCAGCGTGTGATGCAGGTTGCCAAAGAGTCCCAGGCTGTAGGGTCGGCGGGAGGAATACCACTCCCTGGTGGTCTGACCACGAAACAGCAGGTAGAGATGGAAGAAGAAGAAGGAAGACACCAGCAGGAAACCCACCACGCATGTGTCTGCGATGAATGCGAAGGCAAAGGCACGCGCTGAGACCTGGCCTGGGGTGACGAGGAACAGCAGCACACATTAAATCACAGCAAGTGATTACAAATCCAGGCAAACTGAGGTCTGTGATTCATCTCATCACCAATCAACCAGAGGCAAGAGGACAGTATCAGTTTTACTTAACCCGTAGAGTTTCTAAAATACAAACTAAAATATGTATTTCTGAATAATTCTAAATATTTTTTCATAGATCTTAATAGTCAGAGATGTAAAAATAATGGAGATGAACCAACTGTATATTTGGATCTGATATTGACATTTAGCTGATTTTTTTTTGTGGTTACTAAGATATGTGATCAGTAATGATACCAGTAAACAGTGGGAATATCAGCCAATACCAAGCGAAATCAGACAGCAATAACGATAATTTTTCTTTAAGCAGAGATGACAGTATCCTCTTTCCTTCAGTTTTAATACATTATGTTCATTTAGCAACATCTATAAGTTCAAACAGAGTGCCAAACAGTTAGTATCACAGTAATAATGTGCATGAGACGCTCCAGCTGTGACAAACCAGATCGTACCTGAAACAAGCATGATCCAGGGTATGAGCAGCAGCAGGATGCTGTGTACCGTCACACCCTCCTTCAAGATGACAATGAAGACCTCTGCGTTCATCAGGGTGGCGTACAGGAGCCCCGACCACATGAAAAACAAGCAGCTCAGGAAGTAGCGGTAATTGCGGAAGCCCACGCACTGGCCAAAAAAGACGCAGTGGTGATCCCGCCGCAGCACGCACACCTTGCAGTCATAGCAGTGGGAACAGCGCGGAGGAGTGTGCGTCTCACATGTGTAACAGTACCTTTGAATAAAAGACAGACTTTTTTTAATGTATGGTTATTAGTAAATCTATTTTATTGTGAACATCAAAAATAAAGATTGTGTTGAGCCACACGTTAATAATTTAAATGAACACCTGCTTTGGAATAAAGTGTGAAGCAAACTTTAGATCTGGCAAAAAACAAAGATCTCACTTCTTTGCTGCCGTTAAATTAATTATTTATGGTTCCCGATCTCGCATTTTTCAGATTTTAGAAAACCTACAATCTGTTTCAGTTTTCAGCAAAGGTTATATTTCTTGTTAACATGCAGTACATGTTATGCAATGCTAAATTTTGTTATGTAATCACCCCCACCCCTTTTATCGCATTGCACAGTTGTAAGCAAAGATTTACTGCAAATTTAATCTGATCACTTCACTCAAACATAAACATCTCATCTCACATCTAAGTCACAAATAATCTGTTAGGATTCAGTGTTTTTCCTAGCTTGTCTCTCTTTAAAGCCTAAAACAATATGTCAAGGAATTCTTGCCTCTGCCTTGCTTATACCTCATGTTGGGCAGGATAGGGAAGCATACAGGAAGTAGTTTTTCTGATTCGATGCTTTATGAAGGTTACAAAATACAAATTAGTTGCCCAGAACATTATTTAAATCAAGATTCTTATCAAATCATGACGACAACAACAACAAACCCGAAGCGCACAAAGCAGGTAGCAGTAGATAGGTGGCAATATTAAACATACAATGTGCTGTGCATCAAATGTTCATTTCTACAGCTGTTTAATCCTCACCTCCACCCTTGGCCGAGGACTTCTCCTCCCAGGAACACTCCCTTGATGCTGGGACTAGTTTTCATGAAGAGCAGGGCGTTCCAGCAGATGTTCCCCAACATGAAATACTGGGCCAGCAAGTGGATTAATTTCCACCGAGAGGACCACTGAGTCTTCTTCTGGTCTGGCTCCAGCGGAGCCTCCACCGACACCAGGTAACTCACCTCTCCGGTTATGGAGAAAACCAGGAACGTGTTAAGGACCACAGGGAGGTAGTGACACATCTTCTCCACCCTGCAAAACACCTTACTAGCTATACTCGTCATGTTTTATTTGAAATTGCACCTAAAAGTGAATACGGAAAGCGGAAGGAATGCTTTAGCCGACGCACAGCGGTAAGCGTTGGCTAGTTTAACTAGCCTAAAACAATCTAAATTAGCCTCTCGCGTGAGATGAAGTCAAACACACGAAATAAAAAAATGCCTTACGTGTCTTCCGGAAAGTTACAGTAGCGTAAGAAAATAAATGGTACCGTTTTAATCTTTAAAAACCTCACTGACAAGCACGATCTCTGATTGTGGACGGAATCTCGTCTGCTAGTAGGTGTTACATGAAAATATATCCGCAATGCAACAATATACTTTGGTTCCACCTCTAACTTGCCATGGGTAAAACATGACTAAATCACTCGCCTTTAGCCCTTTATTTGTATATAACTGTGTGTATCGTTTTTTTTACGTCCCAAAATGTATTTCTGTGTGTCAGCAGGCACCATTTTGGTGTAAATTTGCTTCAACCACAACCCTGTTTTGAAGAAAGAGAGAAAACAAAGCAGCTTCTCCTCTTGTTAATCTGTTCAGTTTTGTAGCAGGTGTACTTTTTGCGACAGAACTGCAAAAATATTTTTTATTACTTCTGGTTTGAAGGTGAATCAAATTTTCTCCAAGTCAGAGAA